TTCCCTTGCCTCCCCCGCCCCAGTTTTTATTTCTATTGTTATTTCATTGATTATATTTGCTACATATCTCTGAATGCCATTTTGAAACAAAGTGCCTTCTTAAGATATGTATACCGGCAAAATTATGTTCGTTTGGTTTTGGGGTTTTCGGGGGGAAATATTTTTATCATTTTATATTCCTGCATTTTTCAAAACCTTTTTTTAAAAAAAAACGAACCTATTTTCACAAAAGAAGATCATGAGACAAATGCTGAAAAAGAATCAAGAAAAATGCATTTTTTATTTTTTTATATAATAATATTTTATTAAGTTTAAGAATACAAAAACAAATAACCACAAAAAAAGAAATAATAAAAACACAGGGGAAAATATAAAACATCACAATACAGGGTTTCACAATACAAAGGTACAAACATTTAACCTATCACAAGAAAAAGGAAAAGTCAATACACACACAGAAATATAAAACACAGATCACTCTTTTCTGATTTCTGAAAAATGCATTTGATGGGGCAATCCCCATTGCCGTGCAACCGCAAGAACCTAGCTTAAGACTTAGTCCACCCTTGTCTATGATGTTTGTTACAGTATGACTGCAATTTCCTAATTTCTGCTCTAAACCTTCTATCTATGTCTATATAGATATGGAAACCAAAGGATAAGGAGCCTGATACATATGGTGGGTGGGGAGGGAGTCAACAGTTTGCTGAGTGGGCTCAGACACCCCATAAGAATAGTACAGCATCCCGGCTGCCAGGGGGCAAGTTCATTTTACACCTCTCAAGCTGCCATTTAGCATGTGCCAAAGTCTTCCTCTGCGTAACAATAAGGAAAGGTCAGTCCGATGCAGACAGGTGCAAGAGTCGTGAAGAAGGAACCTGACAATAAAGGTTAGCTAGTTAAATGTCATCACTAAAGGGAAGACAACTCAAGCTGCTGTGAACACATGAAGAAGTTGATTTATTCTGTGTCTGATGGCTTGGCCACCATTCCAGACCAGGGGTAGCCAATGTGGACCCTCCAGAGGTTTTGGGACTACAACTCCCTCTATCCCTGATCGTTATCTGTACTTGAAGGGGCTAGTGAGAGTTGGGAGTCCAACAACTTCTTTCTCCCGTTGCGGTAGTCCTGAAATTGTGGAACACCCTCCTCACAGAGGTGTGTCTAGCATCTTCATGGTACATCTTCTGCCATAGATGCTGAGGATAGACCTCTTTACCCTGACCTTTGATGGTTATGGTCTTTTGTTTTGGGAGAACCATCTCTTTTGTTGAATCCATACTTCTGCACTAGCTGGAACAGATTTGCTGCTTTACTTACATGTACCACTGTATGTTGCATTCTTGTATCCCATATGGGGACCTTGTGGTGATAGGTGCATAAGAAGACTTATAAGTAAATTAATAAATAACTTACACCTGAAGGTTACCATGTTGATCACCCCGGTGTAGACTAATGCTGCCTTGTTCTGAGTAGTAAGAATTATCTCAGGTCTCCTGCGAGGATCTCTTTGAACCCGGCCACCTAAAATTGTACCTGGAGCCTTCAGCTTTGAAAATATGTGTCCTGCCATATAACAGACTCCCGCTGTGCCTAAATCTGAGGGATTGTGGGGACTCGGAGCTCATCTCCTCACCAGCATAAGGTTCATGATTGTGCCAGGTCTAAATCACTGAGCCATACATTCTGTGGCAAAGACCCAAGCCCCACCCCCACCCATGCAACATGGCTGTAGATATTAAAGATTTATAATGCTTATCATGAGTGCCACAAGCTGAAAGCATTGGCAGATTAATCTGCCAAATAATCTGCAAATTATTTGGGATTGCTCAAATAAAGATGTAACTGTAGATTAAAATCTGCACAGACACAGTTAATTGGCTGTGCTGTCAGCATCCAAGGTTATGTGACATGGCAATCTTGCTGGACCTCTTGCCACAGCAGGCAATGCAGATGTGACAGCCCTATCTAATGTGTGCCAAAGGAGATAAAAAATAAATTAAAACAGCTTTTCCTTCTGTTCTGTATCCAAAGCCAGGAAAATAGCTTCACACCATGAATTGAGCTGTTGGCCTCCTTTCTTCACAAGATTAGGGGGGGCACCTTCATTAAAAGCTCTACAAGATGTATATTTATTTAAATCTAATAAATAGAAGGGCTGGTGGATTCAAGAGCTAGAATGCTGCATTAGATATGTGGTTGTCGCTGCATAGAAGAGACTTGAGTTCCGGTCCCCAGTCAGCCATGCTGGGCTTGCACAGAGGGTTTTGTTCAGATGCCACTGCTCTGGTCCCAAGCCAATGAAGGGCTTTCCAAGGTCAAAGCCAGCATCTTTAATGGGGTCCAGACACAGACTGGGGACCATGCTGTGCAGTTCCTGTCAGCAGTCCTGCAGCTGTGTCCTGAACAAACACAGATATGCTAATGAACTGTCTATCGGTATTTATATTAGATTGTAGCATTCCATCAAACTCTTCCAAAATTCCATCACGCTGGCCAAGAAATAGAACCCGTGGGGATATGTAAATAGTGGCTGGTGTGAACCTCATCGTGTTTATCTCAGCTTTCATCTGGGACCCAGTTGAAAGGGGGGGGCAACCTGGAATTACATGGGGCAGATTTAGCTCATCACACACACACACACCATGGTTTCCTTGAGTACATGTCTTTAAGTACATGTCAGGGATGATGGGTATTGTAGTTCAGAAACATCTGGAGGGCCACATATTCCATACTCAAAATAAATAAATGAGAAGCTGTCTGTCACTCATTCCTATTGGAAAAAGTAAAAGTTAGCATTCAGATGGAGGGTGCAGTTGCCTATCACTACCCCAGCTGAGCTATGACTGACAGAGACGCTGGCATGGTCATCCAGTCACTTCAATTCTTTCCTAAATTATCTTACACTTTTACTTTCCCCCACGTCTCTCCGTAGGAACCCAGGAATGTAGGAATCTGAGTTACACCAAGTCAGACCACTGGCACATCCAGCTCAGTATTGTTTTTACTAGATAGATAGATAGATGATAGATAGATAGATAGATAGATAGATAGATAGATAGATAGGCGCCGACTCCATGGGGCCTGAGGGGGCCTGAGCCCCCTCAAAAATTCGTTTGGGGGGGCTCCGCCCCCCCCAATAATCTCGGGCGCCCCTCCAGCAGAGCGCCACCGCTGCCCCTCCCCCAGCCCAAAATGCACAGGGTCGGGCTGCATGCCTCCTGCCCTCCCTCCCGAGCAAAAGCTGCACCCAATTTCCTTTGGAGCTGATTAATAGGCGCAGCACGCTCTCCCCTATTCGCTCACGAGGAGGCGACGCCACTTTAACTGCATATTCATGAGCTTAATTATTATTCATGAGCTTTCGCGGGCTCCCCCAATATTTTTTATAAGTCGGCACCCCTGGATAGATAGATAGATAGATGATAGATAGATAGATAGATAGATAGATAGATAGATAGATAGATGATAGATAGATAGATAGATGATAGATAGATAGATAGATGATAGATAGATAGATAGATAGATAGATAGATAGATAGATAGATAGATGATAGATAGATAGATAGATGATAGATAGATAGATGATAGATAGATAGATAGATAGATGATAGATAGATAGATGATAGATAGATAGATAGATAGATAGATAGATAGATGATAGATAGATATAGATAGATATAGATAGATATAGATATAGATAGATAGATAGATAGATAGATGATAGATAGATATAGATAGATAGATATAGATAGATAGATAGATAGATAGATAGATAGATAGATAGATGATAGATAGATAGATAGATAGATAGATAGATATAGATAGATATAGATGATAGATAGATAGATGATAGAGATAGATGATAGATAGGTAGATGATTGATATAGATAGATATAGATGATACACCCTACACTCATTTTCATAAGTGGATGCATAACTTTGTTGTTTTTCCAACATATTTTTGGGGGAGTGCATGCTTTGTGGGTGAGGGGGCTGGTTCATTCCCTCTCTCTCTCATCTTATTTTTTGCATTGTGCTCCAAAAGGGATGCTCTTCTTGTTTTCTTAAGTGACACTTGCAGCAAAAGGCATGGGGAGGGGGAAGCAGCCTTTAAAAAGAAATGTTTCGAGTAAATAAATTAATGAAATTCCATTAAACTGTCTTTGGAACCCCTATCCCCTTAAAAATAAAACCCAGGAGCCATGTTCAGGAGTAAGGAGAGGGTGGGAGAGAGGGAAGGGCCTTTGGGCTATGGGATGTATGCACAGCTAGTAAATTGATATAGTGTAGAGAAGTTCAGAGCATTCCGCTTCTCTCTTCCTAATGACAATGCCACACTGCCTCACCTTCCCTCTCCTGCACAGCTCTTAAAGGTACAGGAATGCCACCAAGACTATATCTGCATTCTCTGTCTCTCTCTCTCTCTCTCTCCTAAAGGCGTGGATTGCAGGTGTCATGGCCTACTTGAAACCAGAGAGCTGTTAACCTCACTTTGAACCAGCTTTTATATGACAACATGTCTTCTCCCAGGCAATGTCAGCCTTTAACAAAAGCAAGCTTGCAGTCTGGAGGAAAACATTGAAGAGGCTGTGATTAGGCACACAAAGAGAGGGGTCAGCTGGTGCGCTAATTGCCCAGGAAGCGGGTTACTAAGCAGCACCTCCTAACCCAGTTGTTATTCCCCGGGGACGCCGCCATCCACTCCAACCTTTGCAGCCTGCTGTCTGTCTTGCTCAAGACCCAAATCAAAATGTCTCGTTACTACAGGCGGTGAAACACCCGCAACAGCATCGCCCTTTCTCATCTTATAGCAAAATGGCACGCAGAGGGCCCAAATACTGTAGCATTTGATAACAGTAAGTTGGTAGTTCATCTCCCCTCCCCACACAGTTCCCCCCCCTTCAAAAAAAATATGTAGGCTTTCCCAACCAAATTACAGATCAGGAAATGGGTGTTTCCCTGACTCACCCTCCTCAGCGCAATGAATTCACACAGCCAACAGGCATGCTGGATCTCTAGGTAAAATGTACCTAGGCTACAATCATTCTTCATTCTCACTGTATTTTATCTTTAAATCGGGCTCGGGGTGAGAGTGTGTGTGTGTGTGTGTGTGTGGAATCATTGGAGAGGAACCGCTAGTTACCAAGGAGACTCCTAGATGAATCAGAGAGACTGGCTGGTATCTTCTTTAATTCACGAGACCATAACATTTTAAACGAGAGGAGGAAATACGATGCCAAGTCTGAGAGAGACGAGTTTCCCCTCCCACCATCAGCACCAAGGATAGCTCCTCTCGCTTGTCTTGCCATGAGAAGGCGTTAGCAGGCGGAATCGAGGAACAGATTACGGCGGAGTGAAGGGGGATTTCTCCGGGTCGCTGATTGGTTCGGGGAGAGAACAAAAGACAGGAGACCATTCAAGGGCAAAGTGGTCCTTATGGAGCTGGTAGGAGAAACAGCTGAAAAGCCACGTTTCCCACCCAGGAGGGAAGACCAAGGCAGAGAGTCCGGGGAGCCCCAGAGATGCGTTGGTCTCGTCGTCGTTCTGCACCCTCGGCGCTCCTGCGAATAAGGACCCTGCCCTTTCTTCGTGCTCTTTCCCACGGCTGGAGAGAGAATGGCGCTACTGGGTTCCTTTAAAATCCTGAGGAAAGACCCTCGTCTGTATTCAGCATCGGGAGTTCTCGCCAGCCTTTCGGAAGGTGCCGGCCGCCGCTGCTTGAAATCCTGGCAGTGAAACGCTCCTCTCGGTGCCTGACTCGGACACAGTTTCACCAACTGGCAGGTGAAGTGACAAGTTTGGCAAGGGACAGAGGGACTTGGCTTCACCACAACACCAGCCCCGACATCCCTTGCCTGCCAGAGGGGGTTCCCATCATGTCTACGAAGCGTGTGAAGGGCTCGGGCAGTAGGAGGGATGTAAACACAGCAGGGTGGTGTTTTAAGAAATGTGGCAATAGACTGGGAGCCCCGTCAAACAAAGTTTGGCTGAAAGAAGCTTGGCTTTTATAGACCTTTTTCAGCATCAAGATAGTTTCTCTCTCCCCACCCCACCCCCTTACAAATGGATTGGCGTAGCTCCTTTTAAGAACAATCTTGAACTTTATTTTATTTTATTTTCCCCTCCCTAGCCATTCTCCCCACCCACCCGCTTTCCCGGTTGAGAAACAAATTATTCAAGGAAGCATCATCGGAATGTTGAGAAAAGCACAAAATCATTCTAACCGCTAGAACTGAAGGCTCAGGGAAGGATCCCACATGGAAATCGCTTGGTTTCTCAGCAAAGGTGACAACTACAAAAGTATGTAGATTGAAGGGAGGAAAATCACTGTGTGTGTCAGAGTCAATTGAAATCTCCATATTTGGAACAGCTGGACCACCGTTGCTAAGGTAACGTTATCAATTAAAGATTTCTTAATGCATCAGGACACAGTGAAATGTATCAGTGTGTGTATTTTGTGTTTATGTGCATACATATATATATGATAAATTGAATGCCTTCTAGGAATGGGATGTTATTCAACGATACTGACCTCCCATTATTAGGCGTGTTTTACAATATGGATTTCTAGGATGGGAAGATCTGGTAGGAAAGGCAACTCGAGTGTTAGTTAAGGATTCAAATCAAGGACCTTTTTTCAAGGCAACTATTTTGAAGTGCTTTTGTGACATGTATAATACTCCCTGAAATGAGCTGCCTGTAGCATTTATGATCTGAAACGAAAGGCTAACAAGATTAGAAGGAATAATGTTTCCGTGATGGGCATTGTGAGGCTTATTGCTAGTAGAATAAAGTAGTCTGGTTTTTATCATCTTGGTCTGCAAATGTGGGTAAGAGGAAGGTTGGTGATAGTTAAAAACAGCATTAGAATGTTGAAAATCCGTGAGGAAAATCTGAAACCTTTACTGCACACCAAGGGAAAGCACAATAAAATTCCTAGCAGTAGCCGAAAGCTGATCACTAATTCCCTCTTGTTTTCTTTTCTTTTAAATGATATATTATACCTGCTTTTAGAGAAAGACTGCAAGTTCAGTCTATGGCATTACAGTTCATCATCTAAGGCATTTCTTATTTACCTTCTGGCTAAGGGGACATGAACTTAGAATATACTGGCAAATATGTCTGGTCTCCCGAGTTTGACAATATCCTAAGTTTTTGCTGCCAGACTTTTTCAAAGACTTGCTTGTTTTCTTTTCACTTGATGACAGTGTTTTTCCAAATATATACTTACCAGCACTTAACTCTCATGTAGCGTCAGCAGTGCTTTGATGTGATAAGCAACATCCCACCCTAAGCAGGTTTACTCAGAAGTAATTTCCCTTGTATTCAGTGGCACTCACAGCCTAATCCAACGCATGCTTGGAAGTGAGTCACTTATTCCCTTGTGAGAAAGGTTGGGGTTGTAGGCTATCTTTGAGTAGCATGCAATTTCTCCTGGCTAGCAAAAGTTAATTTAATGCTTGCTCTGAACCCCCCCCCCCTGCCCTGGAGACTGGTTGTGTGGTGCACAGGCATCAACAAGAAATGTCACCAATTTCACTATGTCTTAGCTGTGACTTTCTTTCTTTTTTTGCCATGTGAGGATATTGAAACATTTCAGGGGTGAGTGGTTTATTTGACATGGAAAATCAACTGAAGTACGGAATACTTTTGTGTTTTGCCCCCAAGGTCATCCAGAAAGGCAGAGAAGTTGGTTTCAGGTGAAGCCTTGGCCTCTAGCTCAGAGCGAAAGATTGAGAGGCCCACTAAACTCATTTCTTCTTCTGACCTTTGCCAAGTTTACAGCAGTCTAAAAGCAGCAGTGGAAGTTAGGGAAAGTTGAGCACCGATAAGCCAAATGCTTAGACTATGTTGTACATGCGCCTGAGTTAATGAGAATTGAGTGTGAGTACTAATACAAGAGAAACTAGTTGCCCATTTAACAAACTTCTAAGGTGGGGGAAAACTCTGTTTGCAGGTTTTGTTTATCCGTCACTGTACCTCAACCTATCATTTCTGTCTACTTCAGGCATCTGGCAAAGTTGTTTGTTGCCTACAAATTCCACACCGAAACAAGTTGGTTAGCCTTTGTGGTTAGCCATGAAGCATCTTTTCTTTGATATACTGATTCTGTAAATTTCTCTCCTTTCAGCCTGATCTATAAAGTGTGGCATCACATTTGTGTTTGTTACAGAAAACAAACGTTCAGATTTCCTCCCCGCCCCCTTTAATATATATTCTGAACTTAGGGGAGATGGACTCCTTTCTCTGCATTTTCCCCTCCACTAACTTTGGTGTCAGTATAGAAACTTCCTTAACTCCCCGTCCCCAATGAGCCCCCTGGTCTGAAAGACGATATGCACTGCTGTCTCTGCTACGCACGACAACAGCTATGGCAGGGGGGGGGGTCTCTTGGGATTGATCTGGCATGTTAAACTGCTGGGTTTGGATGGTTTTGCTTGGCAACTGACCCAATGTGAAAATCTTCTGAAGACCAATCAAGAGGCAAGGTCATCCTGTGAGCCATGCAGTTGCTGCATGCTGCGCTGCCTAGCTGAAGACTGGCACGTGGGTCCGGGTTCACTCATTTGAGAGGCAGCATTATCAGCTTCTAGAGTGGAGGAGAGAGCATGCCCATTTGGGAACTGGCTTTCCTGGGTGATACGGGTGGTCCTTCAATGGACTCTGGTGGGAACCCATTCCCAGCCTTGCTCCGATGCCAGAACATATTCCACTCAAGGAAGGCGCAACCAAGGAAAGGGGGAGATCACCAAGAAGACCCAACTTGCCTGGCCCTTCCAAACACTGGTAAATATCTCTCTCTCTCTCCCCTGCTTCCTCCCTCTTTCTATCCCTTGAGCCTATGCTAGCTTTTAAAAATATCTCCCGAAAATTGGACATCCCTCTTCAGGACCATTGAGAGCCTCTACGCTGCTCCACGGGAGAGTGCACATTTTCACAAATGATGCTAAGAAGCTTTTGCACGGGGAAGTTTTACGTTGACTATAAATTCTAGCCAAATCTAGGTTCTACGCCAAAGTCTGGAAGATAGGAAAAGTTGTGCCAATACCAACTGAAACATCGTTTGTAAAAAATGGCCTGCGCACTACGTCCTTGTGCAGCTCCTTTATTCAGATTGATGTGTTGTCTTGATAGTCTATGTAAAATGGTGGTGGTGATCTGAGCATTGTGAATATTTTTGGAATAATGAAGAATTTCCCAGTGAGGGACATTTGAGTCTTGAGATGGTGGAGAAAGCGGAGAATGGAATGCGGGTTTTCCTCTTTCACCAATTTTGGCATAATTTGCCCACCAGAGTGGCTGTGATGATAGAGTGATGAATGGCAGAGAGGTATATAGTGAATTTCAGGCAGGTACATAGGGAGTGCTAATGTTTATGGTAATTGCTCAGAGGAACATAGTACTTATATTTTAACATGAACCATTACTCAAGCTTGTCTATATGTTATTGAACTTGGAAGCTGTTGCCTCTAAACGTAGAAGCATTGTGCTGGATTGGGAGTAGTGATGAAGGAATGTCACTCTTCATGTGTTCAAGTGTGCTCTCTTCTCTCTTAATATATCCCAGGGCTGAGTCCTGGAACTGAAACCAAGGTCTGGAGCTGACCTTTGATAACCTTCCATTCAAATTAAGTGTTGATTGAAGTAAGGAAAAAACATTAGATCATTGGCATCAAATGACAGAGCTTGTCCTTCCGTTATAGTGCTACTTCTGGAGAAATACCATTCTGCAAGTACCTAGTTTTGTACAATGTGGTGTAATTGGATTGGGCTAGGGATATCTGGGTTTAAATCATCATGGAGATGGTGAGAGGTCACATAGGGGAAGAAGAAGAATCAAAAGTTTACAGCTGGTATTATGCATCCATTGAAACTGCTTGGATCAGAAGTCAGGGAACACAAATATTCTGCTTATGATGTTTGATCATTTCACAGGTGCAAGTCATCGCTTGAAGTTGTAATCACCAAGCGTTGAGCATGCAACTATGTGAACTTGCCCTCCATCCTTCCGTTCAAAGGATTTAGTTTCTCACAGTCCATTGTTTTGATGGCATCTCCAACCTATTTTATGGAGCAATGCAAGGGTCTCCCTGGGTAAGATGCTTGTACCAGACTTTGCAAGCCACATAGCAAAAACTCATTTAACATATCACCTAAATGACTAAGCTATGAATCAGAAAATCCTGGATTCATATCTTGCTTCTGTCCTGAACTTAACTAGAAAGTCTTAGGATGTCACTATCTATCAACCTCTGCTCTCTCATGTCATCTACCCACATAGGGAATATAAATGTACACTTAGCGGCAAAGGTTCACTTTGTGTTGTGAGGGAAAGGGTATAGAAGAAGAGTTTGGTTTTGATATCCCGCTTTATCACTACCCTAAGGAGTCTCAAAGCGGCTAACATTCTCCTTTCCCTTCCTCCCCCACAACAAACACTCTGTGAGGTGAGTGGGGCTGAGAGACTTCAGAGAAGTGTGACTAGCCCAAGGTCACCCAGCAGCTGCATGTGGAGGAGCGGAGATGCAAACCCGGTTCCCCAGATTACGAATCTACCACTCTTAACCACTACACCACACTGGCTCAGTAGTAGAGCATCTGCATGTTATGCAAAATTCCTCAGGTTCAATCCTCAGCATGTCCAGGTAGGTCTGTCTGGGAATATCTTCTGCCTGGAACCCTAAAGTGATGCTGCCAGACAGCATAGAAAATTCTGAGCTAGATAGACCAATGGTTTGATCCAGTATAAGATAGCTTCCCATAGCATGTGAAATGACTCTTGGAAAACTTCCCCTGTGCTCCCCATTCAGTGACAAGTTGGTAGCACACCGCAAAAGTCCAGCGCTGCAATCCACTAATTCATTTCTTGTAGGAATAAAAACTATTGAGATATGCACAGTTCTTCCCACCCATATTGGTTGCAGGATTCCCTGTGTTACTGTCGTCCTCAACCACAAGTTACATGCAAGGATGCAGGCATGTGTAGTATGCCTGTCTACTCAGCCAGCAAATGTAATGAGATCTTTTGCTCAGAGTCATGGTGTACCATGGAGAGATTACATTATACACTAGTTTGTGGAGTAATTAGTACTCAGTCAACATAACAGAGCTTTGAATCAAAGAAGGTACAGTATTATTGCAAAGCCAAAACATTGATTAATATGCGGATTGTTACAGAATTTTAAAAGGTTGGTTAAGCAACCAGAATTCAAATCAGACCAGCAGCATAGTTACAGCTAAGACAGTGCAAAGTAGGACGGCTCACCTACCAAATATGGAGAAAAGGGGGAAATGAGAAACACCAGGCAAACAGAGTCTAATTGGTATAAGGGCGGGGATTAGATAAATAAGTGCCACTAGCAGCAGCAGGGCTAAGCTTGGGAACTGG